TTGATTAACTCATCACTGGTAAATTACTTTCTTTGCTTGGGGCAGACATAGAAGCTGAATATTTGAATATAAAAATGTACTGACTGTAGTTGCTACCTCATTTTCAGTATTTTTTTTGTGGGGGGGGGAGAAATTCTGCTCTGATGAGACATTTTATTTAAAATTTTCTAATTTTTTTAGCATAGATACGTTGTCACTGCATAGGAAGCACAATAATCATAATAAGCTTTGTCATCTAATTCATTAACAAAGTATTTCACCTCCATTGTGCCTTATACAAAGTCTGTTTTTCTGGTTTTTTTTTCCTTGTGTTTGCCTTGATTAGAATGTACTAGTACCACAAAATTTAAAATGTTATGGTACAGCAATACATATGGCACTTGAAATGCTGTTCTTGTTCCCATTGCCCTCAACAGGGCAATTAACAGCATTTAACCCAATTAAGTCAACCCAATGCTGAGTCACTGTGATTTAAATTATGCTTAGCAACAATACAAAGAAATGAGAGTGCCACCTATGGTCTCTGTTATAACTACATAGCCCTGCTGCTGTAATGCAAAAGCAGCCATAGGCCGTCCGTAAACAAATGAGCATGGCTGTGTTACCGTAAAATTTTATGGACACTGAAATTTGAATTTCATGTAATTGTCACATCACAAAATAATTTTTTAGGATTTTTTTCAACCATTGAAAAATAAAACATTCTTAGCTTACAACCTGTACAAAAACAAGCAGTGGGCTGGATTTGGCCCAGCCATATTTTGCCAGCGTTGATTTTGTCTAGTGTTTTTGTGTTTTCAATTTCATTGATTTCTGTCTTAGGTTTATTATATTCTTTTTTCTGTTTGCCTTTAAGACCTCTTTTCTAATATATGCATCATTGCTATATATTGCTCTATAGTATCTGCTTTAGCTGCATCTTTTACATTTTGATATGTTGCTTTTAAATCTTGATTCCACTTAAAATATGCTCTAATTTATTTTCTTAAAACATTTCCACTTCACTACATCTAATTTCTTTTGTGGCTGATTTCATTGGTTGCTTAGAAGTATGCTGCTTAGCCGGGCGCGGTGGCTCAAGCCTGTAATCCCAGCACTTTGGGAGGCCGAGGCGGGTGGATCACGAGGTCAAGAGATCGAGACCATCCTGGTCAACATGGTGAAACCCCGTCTCTACTAAAAATACAAAAAATTAGCTGGGCATGGTGGTGTGTGTCTGTAATCCCAGCTACTCAGGAGGCTGAGGCAGGAGAATTGCCTGAACCCAGGAGGTGGAGGTTGCGGTGAGCCAAGATCGCGCCATTGCACTCCAACCTGGGTAACATGAGTGAAACTCCGTCTCAAAAAAAAAAAAAAAAAAAAAGAAAACCCCCCTAAAAAAAAAAAAAAAAAAAAAAAAAAAGAAGTATGCTGCTTAATTTCCAAACATTTGGAGATTGTCCAGATATCTTTTTTCTTGTACATTTCTAGCTTAAACCTATTATAGTTAGAGAAAATACTTGGTCTGATTTGAATTCTTATGAAATTAGGATTTGTTTTATGAAAAAGACAACATCTGAAATAAAAAATTTACTCAATGGGCTCAGTAGCAGACTGGAGATGACAGAAGAAAAAATCAGTGGACTTGAAGATAGATGAGTATAAAAATGTGTTTTGAGCTTGAGCGACAGAGAAAATAAAAAAAGAAATGAGCAGAGCCTTAGGAACCTGTGGGACAATATCAGAAGTCTTTGGAGTCTCAGGAGGAGCGGAGAGAAATGTTCATTTGGAAGTACTAGCTGAAAATTGCCCAAATTTGGTGAGAGACATAAATTTACAGATTTCAGAAACTCAGTGAATACCAAATACAATAAACTCAGAGAAAATCATTTCTGGATACATCATAATTAAAGTTCTGAAAATTAAAAATAAACAAAAATATAGAAAATGACACATTATATATCTGGTAGAACAATGACAGATATATGTGGATTTCTCATGGGAAGCCATGGAGGCCAGAAAACATTGGAACAACATCTTTAAGATTCTTAAAGGAGTTGTCAATACAAAATTCTGTATCCAATGAGAATGTCCTAAATGCCACACCTGTGCTAAAAGGAGCACTAAAGGAAGTTCTTTAGACTATATAGAAATGATACTAAATGGAAACTGGGAACTTTAGAAGTAATGAAAGAGCTCCAAAAGTAGTAAGTTTTTTGGCAAATATAAAATACTGTTTTTCTACTCCTTTAAAATATACATGACTGTTTAAATAAAAATTATGACTTTCTTGGATAGAGGTTTTTGTGTATATAGAGTAGTATATACAAATGAAACAAAGTGGAGAGGTAGTGGGAACTATTCGTTGGTAAGCTATCTGCATTTTACAGAAAAGTAGTGAAAACAGTAATACTAAATACACTGTGAAAGATTACGTATGTATATTACAACCCTAGAGCAACCACTGGGAAAAAAAGAGGACATATAGCCAAAAGCTGATAGATAAAATGAATGGAATATTTTTAAAAAATCAAATAACCCAAAAGAAGGCAGAAAAGGGGAATAGAGGAACAAAATCAGGGAGGACAAACAGGAAAAAAGATAACAAAATTGTAGACAGGAATCCAGCTATCTCAATAATTACATGAAATGCTAATGGCTTGAATACATCAATTAAAGGAGATTGCAATATTGGATACAATGTAAGAACCAAATATATGCAGTCTAAAAGAACTCCATTTATATATAAGGACATACATAATCTGAAAGTTAAAAAGAGAAAAGGAGCTATACTATGGAGTGGCCATATTAATATCAATGTAGACTTCAGACCAAGGCCAGGGATGCCAAGGGACACTACATCAAGGGTCAGTGCCCCAGCTGACTGGGGCACTGATAGATATGTAATCCTAAATGTGTGCCCACAAACCACCAGTTACATGTAGAAAAACTGACAGAATTTAAAAAATAGAGAAACCCACAGTTCTATGTAGAAATCTCAACACTCGTACGGTAATCAGTAGAACAAGAAGATTGCAAACGAATAAGGATTCAAAAGACCTAAATAATACCATTAACCAGCTTGACCTCGTTGACATTTCTAGAGCCCTCTATCAACAACAGAATACACACTGTTTTCATGTGCTTCAGTTTTGATTGTTGCTGTTGACCTGTCTTTGAGTTCGCCGATGCTTCTGCTGCTTATTTCTGATCTGTCTTTCCCACTTGGCTGCAGATTTCTACGTAGTGAGAACCGTGTCAAATTCTCCGTTTGCTTATTGCCAAGCAAAGGCATTGGCAGAGAGTGATTATTTGGTACCTAACTGTGGTTGGTGTAGCTTTCCAGCAGGCAGCAGGAAATAGGGACCTTCAACTCAGTGAGAGTGCACTCAAATTTTCTGAAAATAGATGTGGGAGAAATAAAAGATGTGAATGTTCTCTGTCTCTTATCTCTGATCAGTTTTGGTGGGTTGCTGAAAACAATAGATTTTTCAGAACGTTGTAAAGGTGATGTACACCTATTGTTAATTACTGACCTAAAATAAATATACTTCGAAACAAACCAGGGCTAATGAGCAGCTTCTAGATTTATCATAGTGATAATAATGAGGATGGTAGTAACAATGGCTAACATTGATCACTGATTTTCTAATATTTTGATGCATTGAACTCCTTTATCTAGACTTTATCTCAAAGGCAGCTATGCACATGTTTTAACCAAGAAAAAACAATCAAACTTTTAATTCCGTCAAACATGCAGAAGCAACAATAGTCTATAGGATGACCACTGTGTGACTTCATATTTAACAAGAATTGCCTTTTCTTTTGAATTCTCAATACCCCTTGGCTAATTAGTGACCCTCTGTTTGATAAAGGTGATCAGAGATCTAAGCTGGAAGGCTGTCTTCACACGGAGTGCGTGCCTGCACAGACATCCGTAGCACATGTTGCTGCTGCTTCCTCTCTGTGACAGCTCCAAGAGCATCTTTTAAAAGAGAGAAATGGGGATCTGGGAATCAGGATGCCTGGCTCCCAGGCCCTTCTCTGCTCCTGGCTTGAGTGTTCTCTGGCAATTTTCTTGAGAGGCCAAATGGCCTAATGGCTAATTGCATGGATTCAGCCTGCAAACTGCCTCTGTTTATGTCCTGGTCTGTGGTTTGCAATCCTCTCTGCACACGGTAGCCATCTGGGGGATTTCGTAAAAACTCTTCTTCCTCAGATCCTGATTTATAGATCCCGGACCTGGGTCTGGACATTGGTATTATTTTTTAAAGCTCCCAACCGAGACTAGTGAGGTGGCAGATTTAGAGCCACTGTGCTAGTTAATTGAGAACACAGACCCTGGGCTAATGGTCCTGGCTGTTCTGCTAGCTAAAATGAGACAGTAGCTTAAAATATTGATGCCTCAGTATTCTGAACTGTAAAAGGAGTTACAAATTGTACCTTCTTGGGTGGTTGTGGGATTAAATGAGGGAGTTCCTCTAAAGCATATGAGTTGGTCTTCTTATCACATTTTCTGCTTCCTCTCTTGCCCTAGGTACCCTCTAACCCTCATTCTGATTCAATAGTCTGATGACGCCTTTCTCTTTGAGTGGCAAATATAGCCCAGTCATCTTCCAGTGCAGAGATCAGCCCTCATTTTCTCCATTGAGCCCATCCATCCTCCCTCATTGTATATGGGTTTGAGGGCCCTTCCATGCCCTGTCAAAAAACCCCATGTACCCTTTACCCTGGCATCTATCTGGGTACCATATTCCTTTTAGAAGGTGACCCATAAATACTGGATAAGTGAAAGAAAACTCAGCTCTTTTACTGCTGATTATGTAGCCAAGTTCATACTTGTCCTTGGTAGTTGTGCTTACATCCTCTGGATTCTACAGCAGTGGCCAGGTGGAGGAGGAGGGGGCAGGTGTCTACTGGACTAGTGGAACTCTCTTTGAGGCGGTGCTAAAAGGCTCTGCCTTATCCACAGTTCATGTTCAGATCCCTTTTTATAGTTTTGAGTTCTTTCTCTTCCACAGATAGCCTTAAAGCTGCCTGAGAACAGTAAACAACGTAACAAACCTTGAGGAAGAACCATGAAATTAAACTCCTGATCTCCAGTCCTCCCCAAGGTCAAGCACTGAGCTGCTTTTCACAGAGGAGCACACGAAGCCCCACAAACAACCCTGCAGGTTAGGTGTTCTCATCACCAATGAGATTTTGTCAAATCTAGACGGAGGATCACATTTTTGTTTAACGCGAGAAAGAGAAACGTAGTAGTATCACAGGTTTCATTAGTCTTTTGTTACATCCCTGTGGGAATATGGATGTACCGCTGAGCTTCCCCTGAGCTCAGGAAGAATATTTACTAGCCACTATATTTTTCATAAGGGTAGTCTCAATGTATATAGTATACCGTGGCAACAAATGAAAGTAAGAAGCCAGAGCTACAGATATAACTAGAAGTTAAGGGTGACTTTCCTGGGACAGAGCAGTAATCTCTGCTCTCCAGATGGCTTACAAAATACATTTGCAAGGGCAATTTTTATGATACAAAATGCTATCTGCACCTCTGCAGTTGCAAGGAAATAGAGATCCCTGGTGCAGTTATAATAGGTTTCCACTATGCACACAGAGAATCCTAATAACAATCATATATTGTTGGCACTATGTGATGTGAATTTTGCAGATGACAGAACTGAAACATTAGAAAGGTTCATGAATTAAAAACAAACAAACAAAAAAATATATATATATATAAAAAAAAAGAAAGGTTCATGAATTTAACCATGGTTACTCAGCAAGTATATAGTAGCACCAGGTTTTGAACATAGACATTTTGTCCCCAGAGTCCACTTTTAACCGGTACATGACATGCCACTGCCTTTCCTTTCCCACATCTCCCAGGATCAGAAGGAGCATGCTGGGAGCTGTAAGGCCCGTGAGGCTACTGGGTACAGCTGTACAGGTTGCTCCATGCATGAGGGCGCCCTGCCAGGAGAGCCGAGTGGTAGCTGGGATCTAGCCCATGCTACCTGCTCCTTAACACACGTCTGTGGCCACATTTGCTGGAAGAAGGGACACCTTTTTCTAATTTGCACAAAGATATATTTCCCTCTTAATCATGGCTTCTGTCGTATTACCCCGTTCTGCCTTCTCAGGTCTCTGCCTCTCCCTAGAAAAAGAAGGAGAAAATGATCAAATTTCAGGTGAGTTGGTTTTCATTTCAGCCATTTTACATGTGACCCCATTTCACAGTGAGTGGACACATCTTTTTCCCCCTTCTTTGCCAAGGGTAAAGAATGACTACAGGCATTCAGTATCATTTATGTGTCAGGCTCTTGCTTTTGTGTTTATCCTTTTCTGAAATTTCCTTTTAGTTTTAAATGTGTTTTATGATTTATTTTATAAATAATAGTATAAAAAAGAATAGAAATTTTAAAATCCCACACCTCATTACCCTGCTTACAAATCTGTTATTTGTTCATGGTCATTTTTTAAAAAATATAACTGTTCTTGCAGTAATACATAACAATTTTGAATTGGGCTTTTAATCTGCTTAAAATAATAGCAGTTAATTTTTATCATCTAATACAATTGAACTGTTGTTATCCCTCTCCCTACTTTTCTTGAAATTATTTCCAACTCACAAGCTTTTAAGTTCTGAAGGATTATTGCAGTTTTACATGGCAGAATCAGTTTCCTACAGATAATCTTGACTCAAAAAGCAGTTCTGAGAGAATTTTGATATTATTTGTCCGTAATGTTCTAGGGACACAAAGCTAAAAATATTTTCTCTGAAGTGATGTCTCAGTGGAAAACATAATATAAGGTTTTGTCTAACAAGATTACATTGCAGGTAAAATTGGGGGGAAAATAGATGTTTTTGTATAAGAAGAGCTAGATTCTTCTTAGAACCTGAAGCTACGTGTGTACCTGTATATGTTTGTATGTCTGTGTGTTTCATTATTCATGTATTAATTTTATTAAAGTAATACAGGCACTTAGTTTAAAATTTATTCATGCGATAGGATGTATAGGCGCTTTCTATCTGTCACACTATGCGTGGCGCCAGATGACTGTCAGAGAGGGACTGTAGAGTCATTTGCACTATTACCTTGAAGATCAGAGGTTCATGTTCATAGAGGAAGAAGATGAGTGTCTGGCCAACTCTAAAGCTTTTTTGCCTTCTGGGTTAAGAGTTTCAGGTATATCATTTGGGTGGAAATACAGACAGAAAAAGCAAAGCAAACTAAAGCAGAGTTCTGCATTCAGAGCTGAAGTTGTTATGCTCAGAACTGCAACCAGAAGAAATATGGGACTGAACTGGTGTTCATTTAAAAATTTAAAATTATCCTACAGCAAAATGTTACAAGACAGCAAAGTGGAATGAAAAAATATTTACAATGTCCATGAAAGAAAAGACCTCAGTGTCCTCCAAATGAATTATTATCACAAAACAAGAATTAGAGATGAACAGCAAATGTGTGTAAAGAGAATGAGCTTCATTACTAATAAGTTTGTGAGAATTTTTTTAATAACTGGTTTTTATTTCCCAGATTTACTTCTGAGATTATGAAAGGTTTCTTTAAAAGCTTTTATATCCAGTATTGAGTAGGATTTATGCTTTCTTGGAAGAAGGCTAAGATGGAAAAGATCTGTTTTGGGAAAACACCTGCCATTATGATTTCAGAATTTTAAAGGTTTTTATTCTTCAACATTGCCATTTCTACTTTTTGGTATTTGTTTTGACAAGGTAATCAACAGAATTCCAGGGGCTAAGGTCTATGAAAAAGATTGTTTTTGCAACGTTGTTCGTATAGGTAACCTAAAACTAAGTGTGCATTAGTTGGATCAAATCATTGTATTCTAGATCATTAGTTCCTTGAATCACTTTGCAGGCCAGAAATGGGAGAGAAGATCTGATGAAAATATTCATAATATGGCTAACATTTGTTGGACACTTACCATTTGCCAGGCACTGTTTTTCAGTGCTTTACATATGGTCACTCATTTTATTACTAGGACACTATGGTGTAAATTTCACCATACAAATGAGAAGACAGGAAACCTGTCCAAGATGATAGAGCTAGCACTGGGCAGAGCGCCCAGATCCACACACAGGCAGTCAGGCTCCAGAGCTGTGCCCATCACTGCAACAGCATACACACTACCATCTCCAGATGGACACAGAGGATGAGCTACGTATTCGAGCAATAAGGATGACTGATACCCTGTAAATCTGGCAAATTAAGTAAGTGATGTGTGTGTGTAAACAAGAAACAGATAGCATCAGTCACTGTCAGAACTAAAGCTTTTGTGGAGCAAATGACATTATTAATACAATTTAAAATATTGGTAACCTAGGACGCAACAGAGTTCCAGGGGCTTACTTATAACAGTGCTAACAAAAGGAAGTAATTTGAAGTGCAAGGATTTCTTTTCTTGCAGCCCTTGGTGAATGGTATTAGCATTATAGAAAGCAAACAGAAAAGAACTATGTAAATTTGACTCGAGTTGCCCAGAATCCAGAACAGCTTCCCATCCCTTACATTTTCTCAGCACTGCCCCTCTTCTGTAAACACAGTGTGTATGTGTTTGGTATTGTAGGAGATGGTGACATTCAAGGATGTTGCTGTGGTTTTCACCGAGGAGGAGCTGGGGCTGCTAGACTCTGTTCAGAGAAAGCTGTACCGAGATGTGATGCTGGAGAACTTCAGGAACCTGCTCTTAGTAGGTGAGCTTAGGTGCCATTAGTAACAACGGCAGCCTCCTGGGGTGTCTTCCTGTGCTCAATTGTTAAAAACTCTGAAGCCCCTGAAGTTATTCTCTGAGCTTGGGTACTGAGAGTCCTAATAATCCCTGTGCAACAGAGACAAGATGGTTCTCTCCAGTCTATCCTTGGAATAGTAAAAATGGTCCTGCTTCATTGATTTGCCATCAAACAGTTTAATAAGTTGTTCCAGGTTAGTAAGTTTATGAAAAATAACTTTTCAGGGCACCAGTAACTGTTGATGAAGTTTAGAGGTTTTTTTTTTTTTTTGAATAATGTATTTGTAAATAACTGTAAATTCACAGAAAACTTACAAAAGTAAAAGGACAAGAACACCCTTATAGATTCATTGAAATTCTACCTAGATTCACCTCTAATAACATGTTATCCTATTTGCTCTATCATTTATGTTCATGTTCTTTCTCTCTATATACATACTATATGTGTATATGAATATATATATATGGTCATAATAACTTTTTCTGAACCACTTGAGGGTAAGTTAATATACCACAGCTGTATTTTATATATATAAATATATATATTTGGCATTATGTATAAAATATATGTATATATTTATATGTATAAAATAAAGCCAACTATATATACATTTGGCTTTATTTTATACATATAAATATATGTTTTTAATAAAGCCAAATATATATATAATTTTTGTATAAAATACATTTTATACAAAATATATAAAATATAAATAAAATGTATATATAATATAAATATAAAATATGTAAATATGTATATTATAAATAAAAGCCATATGTGTGTGTGTGTATATACATACAAATATACACCCATATAAATATGTACACATATGAATAGATGTTCAGTTTTATTCAAAATAAGAGAAATGTTCATTAAAATTATACTGAAATGCCATTGCTCACCCATGAGATTGGCAAAAATTCCAAAACTTGACACTATACATTTTTCAGCAAAGCTGTCAGGAATGAAGAACTCTCATGCATTGAAAGGAAGAATGCAAAATGATACTGCCCTTAGGGAGGGGAAGTTGACAATATCTTTTTTTTTTTTTTGAGACGGAGTTTCGCTCTTGTTACCCAGGCTGGAGTGCAATGGCGCGATCTCGGCTCACCGCAACCTCCGTCTCCTGGGTTCAGGCAATTCTCCTGCCTCAGCCTCCTAAGTAGCTGGGACTACAGGCACGCGCCACCATGCCCAGCTAATTTCTTGTATTTTTAGTAGAGACGGGGTTTCACCATGTTGACCAGGATGGTCTCGATCTGTTGACCTCGTGATCCACCCGCCTCGGCCTCCCAAAGTGCTGGGATTACAGGCTTGAGCCACCGCGCCCGGCCCGAAGTTGACAATATCTAATAGAGTTACGTATTTACCCTTCCCCAGCAATCCATTTCTAGGAATTTTTCCCTAAAAATAGCCATGTGCAAAAGAGTATTAATAGTATACTAAAATTCATGTAAGAAATAAGGTAAAATAAGTAAATAGAGAGTGTGTGAGTACAGATACATATACTCTTGCATATGGCTTTATATGTGTATATGTATATGTATCTATATGTATATAGATACATATAAATAAAATAAGCATGTACATGCTTATTTTTACAAGAAGGAAGGTTTAATCAAAATCATGGCTAGGCGTGGTGGCTCACACCTGTAATCTCAGCACTTTGGGAGGCCAAAGTGAGAGGATCGCTTGAATCCAAGAGTTCAAGACCACCCTGGGCAACATAGGGAGACCCTGTCTCTACAAAAAAATTATCTGGGCATAATGATGTGCACCCATAGTCCCAGCTACTATAGAGGCTGAGGTGGGAGAATTGCTTAAACCTGGGAGGTTGAGGCTGCAGTTTTAGTGAGCCATGATCATGCCACTGCATGCTGGCATGGGCAGAAGAGTAAGAGCCTGTTTCAAAAAAAAAAAAAAATAAGGAAATCATGAAGTTAGTTTCTTACAGTGGATGGGAGGTAACAGTGGAAGGGATGTGGGAGAAAGTCACACTTGTCTGTGTATACCTTTTTGTCTAGTTGTGACAAATTGAACGTTATCAAACTTAAAGACTTTTGCTCTCCTTGCCTTCTTTACAGCACATCAGCCCTTCAAGCCAGACCTGATATCCCAGTTGGAGAGAGAAGAAAAGCTTTTGATGGTAGAGACAGAAACACCAAGAGATGGGTGTTCAGGTGAGAACTGTGATGCAGGAACACAGCAGCCAGAGAGCCCCTTGTTGAACATGAGTCAGAACACATCACTTCCTTGTTTAAACTTTCCTGTGGCTCCCCATTTCACACATAGTAAGTTTAAAGTACTTAAAATGGCCTATTCTGTCCTAAGGTATTTGTCCCCTTAACCTCTTCTCACTTCCTGTATTCACCTACTATTGTTAGTTTTTGCTCATTCAGTCTGTTTCAGAGGCACTGTCCCTCAGACCTCTCAATTATGCTTCTGTGTCACTTTCTTTGACTTGCTTTTCTCTCTGAATGAATTGAGTAATAGATACATGATCTTTGCTCTCTTCATTTCACCTTGAGACAGCTCATAGGTGTATAATAAATCTATGTAATTGAAGGGTATTCCAGAATATTGTTTCTCATCTAATGGATGCCTGTTCTAACTGCTTAGCTGTCCTTGGGTATTCATAGATAGGTAGCCATTAATCCAAAAAGATAAGAATAGCCGGTAAGCTAAAGTAAGTATCAAAAATGACCAATGCCAGCATTACAACTGGTCTTCCTCATGTAGCATTTTCAAGTGAGACACCCTTGTATTCATATGTCCAGCTTCTTATCCTCCCATTCTGTCCCATCCTCTCACACCCAAAGTCTCTTGACATAGCCACAGTCTTAAAGTAGAATTATCAAGTTGGACATTTATATGAATCCAAATATTTTGATAGTTTCTTGAGTCCTCAAAACTCTGATATCAAAAGCCACTGTTGCCACTGTGTACCTAAGGATGATGCTGGGTAAGAAGAAAGAATCAACAGAAAATTCAAAACAAATTAACTCACTTCTATAATTGTTTGTTTCCATCTTGATTAAGATTCAGGGTAATGCATGGTACCCTAAGTAGGAGTTAAACTTTTTCTCTAAAGATCCCAGTAGTAAATACTTTAGGTTTTGCTGGCCACCTGTGCTCCTTGTCACATAATCTTTGTTTTCCTTACATCACTTCAAAAATGTAGAAAGTATTCTTGGTTGCTGGGTTGTACAAAAACAGGCCAAGGCAGTGCCAATCTCTCTTCCTGATACTATCAGCTGGAACATAATATCACCTTTTAAAATACCTTAATTTTTTTTTTTTTACCTATACTAACACGGTCATATATCTTATCTTAATGTAAAAATTTTATATACATTCTTATTTTTAATATACTATTTTTTCTTCTTTGCTGTTACCTTGAGGAAATCCCTCCCAGTCTAAGATTATAACTCTTGTTTTTGTACTGGATGCATAATATTCTAATAAACAAGCTAGTTACTTCCAAGATACAAGGGGGTACAGCCATGGGTAAATGCCTCCATTCCAAAAGGGAGAAATCAGCCAAAACTAAGGGGCTACACGCCCCATGCAAGTCTGAAACCCAGCAGGGTAGTCATTAAATCTCAAAGCTCCAAAATAATCTCCTTTGACTTCATGTCTCACATCCAGGCCATGCTGGTGCAAGGGGTGGGTTCCCAAGGCCTTGGGCATCTCTTCCCCTGTGGCTCTGCAGAGTGTAGCCCACTTGGCTATTTTAATGGGCTGGTGTCAAGTAACTGCAGCTTTTCCAGGCACATGTTGCAAGATGTTGGAGGGTCTGGGGTCTGGAGGATGGTGGTTCTCTTCTCACAGCTCCACTAGGCAGTGCCTGAGTGGGGACTCTGTGGTTTCAAACCCCCCATTTTCCCTCAGCATTGACCTAGTAGAGGGTCTTCCTGAGGGCTCCACCCCTGCAGCAGACTTTTACCTGCATATCCAGGTGTTTCTATACATACTTTGAAATCTGGGTGGAGTTTCCCAAGCCTCAGCTCTTGCCCTCTGCACACCCACAGGCCCAACACCATGTGGAAGCTGCCGAGTCTTGGGGCTTGCACCCTTTGAAACAACAGCCTGAGCCTTGGCCCCTTTTAGCCATGGATCGAACTAGAGCAGCTACAATGCAAGGTACCATGTCCTTAAGCTGTACAAAACAGTGGGGCCCTGGTGCTGGCCCACAAAACTATTTTTCCCTCCTGGGCCTGAAGGCCTGTGATGGGAGGGGCTGCCATGAATGTCTCTGAAATGCCCTGGAGACATTTTCCCCATTGTCTTGGCTATTAACATTCAGCTCCTCTTTACTTAGGAAAATTCCTGCAGCCTTTAATTTCTCCCCAGAAAATGGGTTTTTCTTTTCTACCACATGGTCAGGCTGCAAATTTTCTGAACTTTTATGCTCTGCTTTTTTTTTTTTTAATATAAGTTCCAGCTTCAGATAATTTCTTTGCTCATGAATATGAGCATATGTTGTCAGAAGCAGCCAGACCACATCTTGAATACGTTGCTGCTTAGAAATTTCTTCCACCAAATACCCTAAATCATCTCTCTCAAGTTCAAAGTTTCACAGATATTTGGACCGGGGGCATAATGATGCCAATCTCTTTGATAAAGCATAGCACCAATATTGGGAAAATGTATAAATGCATTTACAGCCCTAAATATATATAAATATATCACCAGTTTCAGCTCCCAGTAACTTTCTCATCTTCATCTGAGACTGCCTCAGCCTGGACTTCACTGTCCATATCATTATCAGCATTTTGGTCAAAACCATTTACAATTCTCTAGGAGGTTCCAAACTTTCCCTCATCATCATATCTTTTTCTGAGCCCTCCAAATTATTCCAACCTCTGCCCATTACCCATTTCCAAAGTCACATCCACATTTTCAGGTATCTTTATAACAATGCCCCACCTTTCTGGTACCAATTTTCTTTATTCATATGTTCTCCCATTGTTATAAAGAACTACCTGAGACTGGGTAATTCATAAAGAAAAGAGGTTTAATTGACTCACAGTTCGACAGGCTGTACAGGAAGCATGGCTGGGGAGGTCTCAGGAAAGTTAGAATTATGGTGGAAGGCAAAGGGGATGGAGGCATATTTTACATGGCAGAGAAAGAGGAAGAGAAAGAGAGTAGGGAAGTGCTACACACTTTCAGACAACCAGATCTCATGAGACTCTATCGTGAGACAGCACTTGGGGGATGGTGCTAAGCCATTAGAAAGCAACTTCATGATCCAATCATCTCCCATGAGGTGTCAACGCCAACATTGGGAATTAGAATTCAACATGAGATTTGGGTGGGGACACAGAGCCAAACCATATTATTGGTTAAGAGAGGAGTCAGCAAAGCAGCTTAAATATTTGTGATCAAAACATTATCACCACTGTACCTTGTAGTACCCACAAAAAATGCCTTAGTTTCTCTATCTGAAAGCAAAGTAAGAATGGAAGGTGATCTCTGCCTCGGTTACCTGAGGTGATGTTCTCACGTAGCTTTTATTAATGGAGAAAAAAAAAAAGATTTTTTTTTCTGAGTTCATTATAGCTAACTATTAAATTCAAAGAATTATTCATTTTCATGACAAATATAGCACCTTTGTTATTGAATTGATTGATTTAGGATACTTGAATGATTGACTTTCTCAACCTCTAAGTGCTAAAGCAGGATTGCTATGAAGAAGTAATAAATTCTCAATCTTCTTACCACAGATGACATCTTCAGCATCTTTTGTCGTGCTTTTTCTCCATCAAATAAAGTTCATTTATAAACAACACAATTTCTTATCACCACTCTACCATTGATACTGAAATAGAACTTAAATGTTGATATATGAAAATGAAATAAGGTGTTTCAGTCTGTACCATTCACTAAAGGAAATTAATGTTATTACATGTGTGGTCTTTTCTAGAAGAGTCTGAAACAAAGTGAAGTGACCTTTTTTTTTTCTTTCTCTGTGTCCTTAACATTGCAAAACCCACTGGTCAGAGAGAAATCTCTTATATATTTAGAGATTTTTGTATCATGAATTATGTACTAATTTGCATTGAAAGAGTTGCTTTGTAAGAAATTTGGTTTTGACTAACAAACTGCTTTCATGTTCTCAAGCCACGTCAGTCCCAAAAGACAGGACATATGAAACTGTATCTTTACGGATGTATATTGAGTGTTTTTTATGCAAGTAAAACCCAACTACAAGCATTATAATTAACCGTTGCCGGAAGCCCAAACTTCTCACATATAAGCTATATACTTTGTGTGCCTCTATTAATATATCCCTTTATTTCACCATTATATGATAAAATAGCATTATACCTGAAAGCTTCACTTTTGAGAAGGCAAAGACATTGCTAAATGTGCTTTTAAAGTACCAAGATATGTACCTGTGGATGTACCTTCAAGTATTATCCCACAATCAGTGTGCTGCCCCAGAGCCTAGTGACACAGAGTCATCAGTATGACCTTTTCTTTTTTCCCATTTTAAAATTTAGGTTAGGGTAGGGCTTACAGATAAGATTTTGTTCAAGAAAAATGACACCATTTTGGTTTTTTTTGAGACAGAGTCTTGCCATGTTGCCCAGGCTGGGGTGCAGTGGCCGTTTACAAGTGTGATAATATTAATAGCTCACTGCAGCCTAAGACTCCTGGGCTCAAGCCTTTTTGGCTGCCTCAGCTTTCTGAGTCACTGGTGAACAGGATTGCATCACCATGCCTGGCTCAAAGTTACACCATTTAAAAAGTTACTTTAAAAATGAGAAAGACTAAATTCACAGGCCCTGCCTATGGGTCTTTTTGATTTTACATTTTCATTTCATCCACAGTAGATTCTTGTGAGCTTTGCTTTTCTTATCAGCAGTACCACTCTAAATTGTCACCCTACCTCTCGTATAGCTTTCCAGCAAAGTTTCCACCATCGCTAGTTCCTTGCCCATTAAAAAAAAGCTACATTACATGCCTTTTTAGTTCTGTGAGTGAGAGCAACTCAAACTATGATTTGTTCATCAATGTTTATTGAGCAACTACTGTTCACTTAGCAGTGAGAGGAAAGCAGTGAACAAAACACTGCTTGTCTTCATGGATAATACATTCCAGTGTGGAGAGGCAGACAAACTCAAGGAAATAAGGCAGAATTATGTTTGAGGGTAATATTTGTGAAAAAATATTCCTTTTACTGCTTTTTTTCTGGATATTATAGAGACTTAATCTACTTCCAAATGTTAGCAGAGTGTATGCTATTAGCCTGTTTAACCAGTTGTCCCTAGTCTGCTTATAATCTGAGCTTTAATAACTAGGTAACAGGATATTTCTACCCAAATATCCTGTCTTCAACCCTTTCAGGTACCTCAAATTTCCTAAATGTTAACATAATTTTCCAGTAAAATGGCACAAGCAAAAGTCAGTATTCATTGACTTTTGTTCAAGACTGATGAGTACCACAGAGGACACCTACAGGTGCCATAATTTTTTTCTGATTTTTCTTAGTTGAATTCTGTCACAGTCTTTCACATTTTGACTTGTGCCACAGCTGTTGATAAGTACGAAATATTTTTTGAAAAGAGTTAAAATTTGTAATGGTTTACAGGGACTTAGAAGAGCTTATTATTCTCATGAGGATAAATAGCTCATTAGTGACAGGATATGTGATGCCTCAAGCCTAAAGTAAAGGTCTGAGTTTACCTTCTTCAGCATGCCCTTTAACACACACAGTACCCTTACAAATGAACAACATTCTCATGTTCATGTGCCAGACGAAAATAAATAAATAAATTAGGACAAAAGGCATTTGTCCATTTGCAACTATATATTTTTTTTATTTAAGAACATCCTTTTTTCCCTCTCAGATCTCCAGGAAACCCATGATAAATCCATAATAACCTGTTTATGGTTGTTTTGTTTTGTTTTGTTTTTTGAGACAGGTCTCATTCTGTCACCTAGGCTGGAGTGCAGTGGCATGATCTCGGCTCACTGCAGCCTCTGCCTCGTGGGTTCAAGTGATTCTCCTGCCCCAGCCTCCCCAGTAGTTGGGATTACAGGTGCCTGCCACCACGCCTGACTAATTTTTGTATTTTTAGTAGAACTGGGATTTCACCATTTTGGCCAGGCTGGTCTCACACTCCTGACTTCAGGTGATCCACCCGACTTGGCCTCCCAAAGTGCTGGGATTACAGGCGTGAGCCACTGTGCCTAGTCATGTTTATGATTTTACTAGGCCTTTTGAACACGGCCGTCATGTTCGGTGTCCAGGTTGTGCTGCAAAGTCCTGATTTTGAGGTATACAGATATCCTGAATTATGCAGATGCTACTTATATGTAGTTTGAGAATTCCTTATCCAAAATGCTTGGGACCAGAAGTGTTTTGTATTTCAAATATTTTTAGATTTTGGAATATTTGCATTGTACTTACCAGTTGAGCATCCCTAATCAGAGATCTGAAATGCTCCAATGAACATTTCCTTTGAACATCATGTAGAACATTCAAAAAGTTTTGGATTCTGGAGCATTTCAGGTTTCAGATTTTTGGATTGAGAATACTCAACCTGTACCTGGTATAGCCAAAGAAGAAGCATTTTCTAAGTATTCTTAGGAATAGTGACATGAATTTTCCTCTGGTCCATTCAAGTTTCATGTTATGACCTAAGTTGTAAAATCTTCAAATCTCTTAAATAAAACATTCAATTGTGCACATCTGAATTCTCCTTATCCTTATAGGAAGGAAGAATCAACAAAAGATGGAGACTATTCAGGAAGTAAGAGTAAGCTACCTTTCCCCCAAAGAGCTTTCCTCCTGTCAGACCTGGCAACAAAGTGCAGGTGGGTTAATCAGGTGTCAAGATTTCCTGAAAGTTTTTCAAGGGAAGAATTATCATTTGCAAGAACAAGGTGATTCCCTCTGCAAGGTTTGGGCAGGAATACCAGTTCAGATTTCTGAAGATGAGAACTATATATTGACTCATATAGGGAATGGCTCCAATTATATAAAAAGTCAAGAGTATCCATCTTGGAGGACACAGCATTCTTGGAGGAAAATATATCTGAAAGAGTCACATAATTATCAGGGTAGATGTCAGCAAATTTCCATGAAAAATAATTTCTGTAAGTGTGACCGCATCAGTTGGATCTCACATCACAATGATAAACTAGAAGTACACAGAGAAGAAAACTACAGCTGCCATGACTGTGGAGAAGATATCATGAAGGTATCATTGCTTCATCAGGATTCAATTCAAACAGGGGAGAAGCCCTATCCATGTACTGGGTATAGAAAAGCCTTCAGTAATGACTCCAGCTCTGAAGTTCATCAGGAGTTCCAGTTGGAAGGGAAGTCCTATACGTACAGTTCATGTGGAAAGGGCTGTAGTTATAGTTCACTTCTTCATATTCATCAAAATCTTCAGAGAGAAGATGATGTTATTGAGAATTCACATCTGAAATCCTATCAGAGAGTGCATCCAGAGGAGAAATCATGCAAATGTGGTGAATATGGTGAGAACTTCAATCACTGTTCCCCTCTTAACACTTACGAACTTATCCACACAGGTGAGATGTCCTGTAGGCACAACATTTATGAGAAAGCCTTCAGTCATAGCTTTAACCTTAATGGTATTTTTAGGGTCCAAACTAGGGATGAACCCCATGAATATGAGGAAAATGACAATATCTTTAATCAGAGTTCATGTCTTCAAGTCCATCAAAAAATCCACACTGAAGAGAAATTATACAGAGATGTAGAGTATGGAAAGAGTTTCATTTGTAGTCCAAATCTTGACATTCAGCATAGGGTACACATGGAAGAGAATCCCTATAATTCCGAGGAGTGTGGTAATGGCTTCAATCTGGCCTCACATTTTCAAGACCTTCAGATAGTCCACACTGAGGAACAACCATATAAACGCTATGTGTGTGGTAACAGCTTCGGCCATAATTTGTATTTTCAAGGTCATCAGAAAATTCACATTGAAGAGAAGCCACATAAGGAGTGTGGGAATGGCTTCAACTGGAGCTCAAAACTTAAAGATCATCAGAGAGTCCACAGTGGACAGAAGCCATACAAATGCAGTGCATGCGGCAAAGGTTTCAATCATAGATCAGTTCTGAATGTTCATCAGAGAGTCCACACTGGAGAGAAACCTTATAAATGTGAGGAATGTGATAAGGGATTCAGTCGGAGTTCATATCTTCAAGCCCATCAGAGAGTCCACACTGGAGAAAAACCGTATAAATGTGAGGAATGTGGGAAGGGGTTCAGTCGAAATTCATACCTTCAAGGCCATCAGAGAGTTCACACTGGAGAAAAACCATACAAGTGTGAGGAGTGTGGGAAGGGCTTCAGTCGGAGTTCACACCTTCAAGGCCATCAGAGAGTCCACACTGGAGAAAAACCATTCAAATGTGAGGAGTGTGGGAAGGGGTTCAGTTGGAGTTTTAATCTTCAAATTCATCAGAGGGTTCACACAGGAGAAAAACCCTATAAATGTGGAGAATGTGGTAAAGGTTTCAGTAAGGCCTCAACTCTTTTGGCCCATCAGAGAGTCCACACGGGAGAAAAGCCATACCAATGTGATGAGTGTGGTAAGAATTTCAGTCAGAGATCGTACCTTCAAAGTCATCAGAGTGTGCATTCTGGAGAAAGACCATATATATGTGAGGTATGCGGAAAGGGCTTCAGTCAAAGGGCATATCTTCAAGGTCATCAGAGAGTCCACACTAGAGTGAAACCATATAAGTGTGAGATATGTGGGAAGGGCTTTAGTCAGAGCTCACGCCTCGAAGCACATCGGAGGGTTCACACAGGAGGGAAACCATACAAATGTGAGGTGTGTACAAAGGGTTTCAGTGAAAGTTCACGCCTTCAAGCACACCAAAGGGTTCATGCAGAAGGGAGACCCTATAAATGTGAACAGTGTGGTAAGGGTTTCAGTGGGTATTCAAGTCTTCAAGCACATCACAGAGTCCACACTGGGGAGAAACCATACAAATGTGAGGTATGTGGAAAAGGGTTCAGTCAGAGATCAAATCTTCAGGCTCATCAGAGAGTCCACACAGGAGAGAAACCATACAAATGTGATGCATGTGGTAAGGGTTTCCGTTGGAGCTCAGGTCTTCTAATTCATCAAAGAGTCCATAGTAGTGATAAATTCTATAAAAGCGAAGACTATGGTAAGGACTACCCTTCATCAGAGAATCTACACAGAAATGAAGATTCTGTTTTGTTTTGAAGTCCTCAAATGGGAGCTGAAATTTTCCAGTCACTAGAGTTCTTTCAGTAGAAAAAGAATTTTTTAAAATTAAAATGTGATGTTTCTGCCCAATTTCAACATTCATAATGGCCAGGAGACCACACAACAGAGACATTTAATGAGAGGGGTTTCATAAGGGATTTTGTTAGAACTTTAACATCAGTCATTGCACAGGAGGTAAGGCTTATAAAATATGAGTATGGTCAGAAATTTAATAAAAGTACAGTGAAGAACATGCCTAAATCCATGTTCTCTAGAATGTCAGCTTGGTAAGAGAAGGGACTTTGTTCATTTCTAGTCTACAAAACTATGACATTTCATAACTCAATGTAGGTGTTTAGTACTTTTTGCTAAATGAGTAAAAGTATGTAAAGGTACAATGTTTGAATTTTTTTAAGCTCATTTTTTAAAACTTCACTTAAAATGTATTTGGAGGAGGAATCCTACAAGTAATCTTAATGAAATCATTTCAAGTAAATATTATTTGAAATGTAGAACATTAAGCATTATTGTGATCTGAAATAACATTAATTTGGTTGTAACCCTATTGGGGTTGGTTCCCATCCTTTGTTCCATGTTGAGCAGAGATGTGCTGCGTTTCTTAACATTTGGTCTCTCTACATTATACCATCCATTGATTTAGCTTTGTGTGTATGTATATGTCCACGTGTGTGCACTTTAAATAGCAGTACAAACTGATAAACAATGTTTCTGGTTAATGTTGCAAAAATGGAACACTGTATTTTACCTAATTGATTTTCTACTCCTGCCCTGTAAATTAAGGCAGAGTTTTACTATAAGATTCGCAAAGTATCCAAAATGGTTACTGATGACAAATACTTTTTAATAAATGTCAAAGTCACAATACTTATTTTATTCTCCATATTTCTCTCAAAGTCCATTTGATCTGACTGATTTCTAAATGTTGTAGCCTTTGTCCAATCCACACCTCCTTAAGCAGAGTCAAGTTTGAAGCATTTTGTCAAGTTTTCAATTCTCATACTTCTCCCACTCACACACAAAAAAGGGGAAAATCTTGAATTTTTCTAAGCATTTTTTATCAATGTATTGACTAGTAGGGTAGGGCTGCCATTTACTTGCTAGTGTCTGTCTTCAAGAATGATGCATTTTGTTGGTGAAAGTGAAAAATACAAGCTTGTTATCCAATATATATCAAAATATTTATCAGGTCCCTGATATATATTGAAATATAAAATGTGCATAGCCATCTGGAAGTCATAGAATAATGATTTATAATTAAGCAATTTTTACCAGTAAGGAAGGATTTTACAATGATAGTAATGTTTTAAGCTGGAACTAAAGGACTATCAATCTGAATTTGGGTAAGTTTCTATATGTTCTATTCTGTGGCTCTACAGAAAGTATATTTAGCTCTAAAATGACAAGAATGGATCATGCATATTGTTTAGTAAAAATGTGGATTGTGGCCAAACACAGTGGCTCACGCCTGTAATCTTAGCACTTTGGGAGGCCAAGGCAGGTGGATCACGAGGTCAGGATTTTGAGACCAGCCTGACCAACATGGTGAAACTCCATCTCTACTAAAAATGCAAAAATTAGCCAGGCATGGTGGCATGTGCCTGTAATCCCAGCTACTCAGGAGGCTGAGGCTGGAGAATTGCTTGAACCCAGGAGGCAGAGGTTGCAGTGAGCCAAGATTACACCACTGCACTCCAACCTGGGAGTTGAGCAAGACTCTGTCTCAAAAAAAAAAAAAAATGTGGATTGTATGTTCATAATAGCCAGCTAATTTAAGTCTGTGTACATGTATGTTCAAATATATGCTTAGCTATAATGTGTGAAAGATTACACATTATGCATACAGTAGTTTTCTCTGGAAAGCAAAATTTTGGCTTAGCTTTTTGTGCTTTATTTAAAAATATTTATAATGGATATTTACCAATTTATACCAAAGCAGTGAACAGCTATGGGTATATTATCCCTTATACTTAAGAACTCATGTTACAATTGCTTATAATATGATTGCTTGATTTCATTGTATGGTATGACCAACAGTAAAGAGTAAACCCCAGCCAGGTGCGGTGGCTCACACCTGTAATCCCAGCACTTTGGGAGGCTGAGGTGGGTGGATCACGAGGTCAAGAGATCGAGACCATCCTGGTCAACACAGTGAAACCCCGTCTCTACTAAAAATACAAAAAATTAGCTGGGCATGGTGGCGCATGCCTGTAATCCCAGCTACTCAGGAGGCTGAGGCAGGAGAATTGCCTGAACCCAGTAGGCGGAGGTTGCGGTGAGCCGAGATCGCGCCATTGCACTCCAGCCTGGGTAGCAAGAGCGAAACTCCGTCCAAAAAAAAAAAAAAGAGTAAACCCCTTGAAGTTAATTTTTTAATTTTTCTGGATTTTTGAGAATACAGATAAATTAGGTGTCCAATAACTTTAAATTTCTGTGAAATGCAATCCAGTTTTATAAATTGATGCTCACAGCTTTTCCATCAGATTTCCCCTTGGTGGATGAATATGGTGACCAAAGAACTGGTATAACTTGGCTTTCAAGGTGCTGGTTCAAGTTTCACAATGTCATCAGAAATCCAGGGCTTCTAAAGCATGTCCTTGATATCATCACTTACAGGGGAGAGCTCATGGTGGTTTCATCAGTTGGAATGCTTTTAGTTCTAAGTAACAGAAAATTTATAGTTGCCTAAACCAAAACTATTTATTCGTTCATATAAATGAAAGATGCAGATACTGTAAGGCTACGATCTGGGTAAGGTGGTGGGATTTTATATTGCTTTCCTTTAATTCTTTCACCTCTCTTTTTTCTTGTGAATTCTTGCCTTCACGTTGTTCACAATATAGCAGCATCACCTGCTTTCTTGTTCACAGCTGAAGGAAGAAATATTGTGTATCATTTTAGTCGTGTGTGGTTCTGGCTCCCCAAAATGCATGGAATCTCTGACACTCTGATTCTCACTAACAACTGAAACCAACCAAGACAACAAAGGACACCGCTGGTCCCCTAGCCCACTCCTAGTGAGAAGCAACAGCAGGCTACCCCGAGAAAAGGGAATAACATAGAGAATTTTTCTGTGGCCCCAGTGCATAGGGACGGCCAAAAGCTGAGGACAGGGCAGCAAGGAACATTGAGAAAACTTTAGCACTCTCGTTCCCACCCAAAGCACAACATAACACTAGAGAAATTTGAAGCCAGTGGTACAACTAAGATAAATACTACAACAACAAAACCCAATTCCAGTTTAATTCCTGACCAGATTAATTCAGCACTCCACCCTGACATCCTAGCAGAATATGTGTGCCTAGTTTTAGGCCAAAAATAATGTTTTCTTCAGTCTCTGCTGTTCTGCATATGTTATCTGGCATTTTATTTAAAAAATACAAGATTAAAAGTTGAGAACAATCTTCTGCCAGTAGATAGCAGACCAATCAATAAAACCACACTTATAGATAACCATAGTTTGGAACTGTTAGGGAATTTTACATAACTGATTGGTGTGCTAAAGACTCCAGTGAAAAGGGCAGATAATATTCATGAACAGATAGCGATTGCAGTAAAATTTAATAGTCAAATGAGAAATGCTAGGGAAAGAAAATTTATGCTACTACTTTTACTTTTATCAGAAAGCTCTTGAAGACTTGTGAGTAGGCTCAACATAGTTGAGAAAAGTGTCAGAGAACTTCAGTATAAGTCAATAGAAATCACCCAAACTAAAACACAAAAAGTGTGAAGAAAACAATACAAATCAGACAACATTGTAGGCTCTAATATTTGCATACTTGGAAACCCAGGGGCAGGTGGACAGAATGGGAAGAGAAGAAAGAGATAATGGCTAAGAATTTTCCAAAAATAATAAGACCTCACTGACATTCAAGAACCTCAGAATGCCAAAGCAGTATTTTTAAGAAAAGAACAAAATTAGATGCATTATTGCCAAATAGCTAAAAATGGGAAATGCAAAGAAAATATTAATGGCAGACAGAGGAAAGGGACACATTACATTTAAGAAGCATAGTGTGAAAAACATCAGATTTATCATAATCACAAACCATGCAAGCAGAAGACAATGGAGTTACATCTTTTAACATTTAGAAACAAAAAACAAAGATCAATAAAAAATTCTAAGCCCAATGGAAAAAAAATCTTTCAGAAGGTATGCAAAATAAAGATGTTTTCAGATGAACAGAAGCTGATAGAATTCACTGTTAGCAGACCTACACTGTAAGAGGCATTTAGCATACCAGAAATAGACTTGGATCTACCAAAAGGCCTAACTATGAAAATGGTTATTTCAATCAAGTATAAAATATTTTTTATTTTTATTACTCCAAAATACAATTCAGTAAAGCAAAATTAGGAATGAAGTTTTATGAATTTAGAGGACATATAAAAATAAGATGTTTTGTAAGAACACTGCAAAACAGGGAAGACAGAAATTAGAAATATGCTAGCAGAAATTAGAGGTATTTGGTTGTACTTTGTACATGAATTAGCATAATATGACTTGAAGATAGACTGAGAAAAAATACAGGTTTATGTTTTAAGCCCCAGAGTAACCATTTAAGAATTTTTTAAAGTGGTACAACTCATAAGCCAGTAGTAGAGATTAAATTCTGTTTCCAAAAATAGCAACATAGAAGCAAGCTGGCTTCAACCCTTCAACAGAAAACTACAGGCAAATATACAGCACCAAGATTATCACCAGCAATATCCCAGAACTCAAATATGAGGAGGAGACAGTTCCTGAAAACAAAAATAAGTGAAAAAACTGGGCAGATGGTAAGAGAATTGGACTTTCCTATGGACAGTGCTCCTCTCTCTAATCTGCCTGGCACCAAGACTGTGGAAAATTTTCCCCTGGGTCACAGTTTTTACACTGGAAAAAGTGAATCAAGATGGACAACCAGCATCGCTATCTTGGGCTCCCCTGACAGGAGACTTGTCTTTGAGTCAACCCACAGGAAGCATCAGTAGTAATCAAAGAGAAAAATGTCCCTGAGGACAGCCAGAGATGAAGCAGGGAGGTGGGAATACTGTCCCAAGTCATGGAAACTACTCTGCAACTCAGCCAAAGGAGACACCATTCAGAGTGGGTTCAAGATATTTCTCTGGCTTAATATTTGTATTGCCTTTTTGTGGGTTCTTAGTATATTAGAACGAATAGCACATTAAACAAAACACTTGTCAAGAGCCCTTAGGTACCTTGCGGAATAATGGAGTGAAAGGAGTCAAACACTTTACTCACTTCTCTCCTCTCCACCAATCCCTAAATATACACAGCTTGGACACTAAGGACTAAAACTTCATTCCTCCTTCCCTCCTCTCTCACAGATACGGAAGGGGGACACAGAAGTGCTGAGGAGAAGGGTGTGGTCCCTCACTAGGGCTCCACCCCCAGGCCTGTGGCCCGGGACCTAGTCAGTACAGGTATTCCTGCCTTTGCGCCCAAATGTTGCGTTTCCCAGGACCACCCTGGTCCACCACGCCCCCATCCAGTGCCTATAAAACCCCTGAAACCCTAGCGGCAGAGACACAAGCCGCTGGACGTTGAGAGAAATGCACTGGCAGACACACAAACGGCTGGATGTTGAGAGGCCGTGAAGGGGAGCAGGTCAGCAGAAGGACACGCTGAAGAGACCGGCAGGCCAGCAGGCCATCACAGGTGGAACAATGCAGAGTTTGGCCTGGGTAGTCGGAGGAGAGCGCAGGCCACTGAGTGGCTGCCTCCAGGGGAAAACCATCTCCTTTCTGGCTCCCCTATCTGCTGAGAGCTACTTCCATTCAATAAAACCTTGCATTCATTCTCCAAGCCCATGTGTGATCCGATTCTTCCGGTACACCCACGCAAGAAACCCTGGGATACAGAAAAGCCCTCTGTGCTTGCGGTAAGGCAGGGGGTCTAACTGAGCTAACACAAGCTGCTTACAGATGGCTAAACTAGAAGAGCACCTTGTAACACAAGCCTACGGGGCCTTCAGGAGCTGTAAACATTAACCCCTAGCCACTGCTGTCAGGTTGGAGTCCTACAACCTGCCCGTGTTCATGTTCCTCCTAGAGGTTGGAGCAGCTGGGCACCAAAGAAGCAAGCCACAGCCCCATCACATGCCCTGCGAGGGGAATAAGGGAACTCTTCCTGTTTCATCACAATTTACTTTCTGCACTAACATGATTGTTCAGCTGTCTTCGTTAGCAGGCCTTTATTCCAGGAGATTCCTGCCCAAGCAAACTGTTTAATTGTTCATTACGGGAACTTCCACAGCGACCCATCAAATTTTCAATCTCTTCCAAAGAAAGTATCAACAGATTGCACCTTAAAATTCTTTGCTTCAAAAATCCTTGCTATATCCACGAATCCTGGACTGTAGTATCATGATCATTACACAATCCTAATAGAATTCCTTGCATTAAAAGACCCGCCTTAAACATCCAATTCTCAATCAGTTCCAACTTTGCCTTGACACTTTGCTCTGTGAAGGTGCCAACGCTCTGTCGAGGTGCCAACGAGTTGCCAATGCTCTGTTCTCCGTTACTGCAATCAATAAATTCTGTGTTTTGTCTTATCAACAGGTTGAGTTGATGACATTTGACACAAGTTTGAAATACTGTGTTCCTTAACGTTCGGCGTCCATCGGAGTTCAGCCTAAGTCACTTTTATGCTTCCCATTTTTAGCCTACCCTTTGCTTCTGCTAAAAATTTTGGTTTCTAACTTATTTTCATAATATAAGCTGTACTTTTCTTTTTTATATGACCTCACTTCTAAAATTTTATAATTATTTTTTCATGAGCTTTTAAAAATGAATAAAACAAAAAGGAATCTGACAGTAGTAGCGCCGGAGAAGAGGCTCAATCGAACCAAACTCAGCTGGTGGGAAGTGTTGCCCTTTGGAGCATTATGGGAACTGTAGTCCACGAGTGAGAGAACTCCGAGACGCTTCCGCTTAGGAATTCTGGGAAGTGGAGTCCACGAACTATGTGCAGTCAGAGGCACTTCCGCTCTAGGAAGGGGAGGTCGGTTCTGAGGTTGCTCTCGGGGAGGTGAGTCAGCCCCGGGTCTGGAAGACTTCTCCGAGCCCTCTTTGCCTGGGCGTGGGGCCAGCGATGAACCAGTCCTTGGCTTGGGCCAGAGAAGCCGCGGCCAGCAGTAGAGGACGGGGTTGGGAGGCGGTGGGAGTTTGCGTCCCCTCGGCGGAACCTCCTGCGTTGGGGGCGGGCTCGCGTCGTGCTTCGAGGCTGAGGGTCTCCAGCCGTCGCTGCTGCCTCAGCCCTCCTCACACACACACCAGCCAGCCCTGCCTGCTCCTCGCAGTAAAATATTGGGCAAGTTACTTAATCTCTCCTTGTCTCAGTTTCCTCGTGCCTGTAAAGGGTTAGTGCGTTCCCAGTGATGTTTTTGTGAGAATTTAGTGAGATTTTATAGAAATAAGCTTAAAAACAGTGCATAGGAAAATGTTGGATGCCACCGTTAATTCTGTTATAATACTAAAAAAGACGTCTGTTGTTTGGAAACTCCTCTGTGCCTGGGATGGGGTCGGAGATCCAGTTACGGACCCGCTGTCCCTTCTCTAATCCTTGCCTGATGTGGGGCCGTTCTGGGATTCTTGGACTTTTTTTCTAGCTGCTTCTTTAGGAGACAGGAGATTAGTTTCAGCCGGAGCCCGGGGAATGTACTCTCTGTTTTATCGCAGAGAAGTGGTCGTCATTACAGATTTGCAGAGTTCTAGAGATGTCCTGAGGTCCTAATAACTGTTCAGTATTCAGTATTATGTGGTTATTACCAGTAATCCCGTGTGGTTAACTTAAGTGCAGCACCATTTCTTAGAGAGTTTTAGGCTTTTATTAGTCATTGCTTTCATGCGTATGGGAAAAGAGTTTCTTGAAGCTCCTCCAGCTCAGTAACATTTGCAAGTAATTACATCTATTGGGGGAAAAAAATCTGTGGCAGTTTAACTATCATTACCAACGGAACTAATTATATGTTAGACAGCCAGTCACAGTTACAGACTTTTCTGAGGGTAATGGTAACTCACAGGACAGAGCAATTATCTTTGAGTTCTGGGTTTCTTAAAAGACTCATTCTCTAGAAAGCATACTCAACAAGGGTAGTTTTGTGAAGCATAATAGCACTTGCTTGTCAGAAGCTGCAGGAAAGAGAGAATACAGGCATTATTATTGTCCTCATTTACAAGTGACTGAATTAAGGCACAGAGAGATTAATAACTCGCTAAGGCTTATACTGCTGATCAGTAGAAATGCCAAAATTTGAAGCCAGGTATTTTGACTCTGTTACATTACCCTGCCTGTTTGTGTCTCATTTCCTTAGACACCAAGGTTCAGAAGGAGTACACAGGGAGGTGCATTTGATTTAGGTTTGTTGATATGAAATGTTCATGAACAAAAGCAGCTGGTTGAGAGAACCCAGTGGTAGCTGGGATCCAGCTCCTGTTCTCACTAAGCTGTGTGCAACTGTGTGTGCCTAGAGAAAGGGGGACCTTTCTCCAAAGTGTCACATCAAGTGCCATGTTGACTAATGGCATCCCTAACCTATCTCATGATGCCTTTCCCTCCCCCAGGCTTGCTCCCCCAGAACTCTACCTTTTCCCAAAAGGAAGAGAGGGAAAATGACCAAGTTCCAGGTAAGTTTGGCTTGCCTTTCTGTTTCTTAAAATGACATTAAAAATTTAATGTCTCGTTTCACAAAGATTGGACACATTTTTCCTGTTTAGGAAGAGTAAAAGGGTAAAATCTTTCAAGGCACTTGAAAGATTGTTATATGCCAGGCTCTTGCCTTTTATATCCAAATAATAGTATGAAAATTAATATATATATATACACACACACACACACACACACATATATACATATATGTTTAGAGACACAGTCTCACTCTGTTTCTCAAGCTGGAGTGCAGTGGCATACTGCAGCCTGGGCCTCCTGGGCTCAAGAGATCCCCCCACCTTAGCCTCTTGAGTAGTTGGGACCACAGGCATGCACCACCACAACCGGCTAATTATTTTTACTAGAGACGGGGTGTCCCTGTGTTACCCAGACTGGTCTTGAACTGCTGAGCTCAAGCGATCCTCCTGCCTTGGCTTAACAGATATGTTCTTTAAATGGAAAACAGCTCTCACATTACAAATGTGTTTACAAATCATTTTCCACATTCCTTTTCACTTGTATTCACAAATGTGTATAATCATGCTTTAGGTACAATTTTGAATTTTTTAAATTTAATTTTGTATCACCTAGGCTTTAAGTGATCTGGTCATTTTTCCATAGTTTACATGATTTTATTTTTCCTCATTCTCCACATTTACCTAGTCTATGAATTTTGCCATTTTAAGGACATTGATGATAGCAGTTTTTCCCCGTATAACTTCTCTTCCCAAATAAGAATTCTGAGAATTCTGTTTTTTTGTTTATCAAGTTTAGACTCATTTTCTCATACACAGCACCTCATTTTATGGAGAAAATAAAGTTTAGCTTGGTGCAATTGCATCTGATACTAAACTCAGAGAAAACTTTTAGTTTCAAACGAGAGCTAGATTTCTTTAAGTAAAACCTTGTATTATAGTTAAGTATCTGCTTTATTCATTAACGTGTTATTATATTTTAAAGAAGTACATATTTAGTTTAAAAGCCTTATAGCACTAGGAGATTCACCAGGAATTTGCTGCATGGAATGGCTTTTTGAGGATGTAGATGGCCTTACCTGTATTTTAAATATAAGAGACAGGTGTGAACCTTCAGACATTTAATGAAGTTCACTCAGTGCCCAGCTGACGTTAATGCTTTCAAGTGCCTAAGCCATAATTTTCAGGTGTTCCATTTGGGTGATGAAGAGACTCAGGACCAGGTGCAGAGGCTCACCTGTCATCCCAGCACTTTGGGGCCGAGGTGGGTGGATCACTTGAGGTCAGGAGTTTGAGACTAGCCTAGCTAACATGGTGAAACCCCGTCTCCACTAAAAATACAAACATTAGCTGGGTGTCGTGGCACATGCCTATAATCCCAACTACTCGTGTAGGTGAGGCAGGAAAATTGCTTGAACCTGGGAAGTGGAAGTTGCAGTGAGCCAAGATTGTACCACTGCAGTGCAGCCTGGGCAACAGAGTAAGATTGTCTCAAAGAAAAAAAAAAAAGAGACTATTTAGGGACCTGAGGCTATGCTACGTGTATACGTCCCTGGTATGTCCTGGTGAATGAAGGGCTCCAAAAATAACATTGTTCTTCATCAGATTCCCTTTCTCAGTGCATGACTCTTCCTCAGATGTGTCATCAAGTTATTTACTACATAGATGTTCAGAACTCTGGCCAAAACAAATGCAGGGATGAGCAGTGTCTTCAGATTTTAAAATGTTCATTTCCATACAGAAAAACACCGTATGCAAACTTTATGAGCCAAATAGGAAAGAGGTGCAGGGGTAGGAGTTTATATATTCTAGAAAAACACTTAATATTCCTTTTTTTTTTTTTTTTTTTTAAAGATGGGGTTTCACCATGATGTCCAGGCTGGTCTTGAACTCCTGACCTCAGGTGATCCACCCACCTCGGCCTCCCAAAGTGCTAGGATTACAGGCGTGAGCCACCGTGCCCGGCCGACTTAATATTCTTAACAGTAATATTACTGATACTCAAAAGATTCCAGTAGTATTAAGCAAAGGGAATATGTGAAGAGAAATAATATGAGAAGATCGTCTTTTAAAAAAGTTTAAATAAATGGACTTTTTTTTTTTTTAAGAGTTATTTGTATCACTCACCAAATTAAGATTTTTTAAAAAATAATATAACGTCCAGTTTTGGCCAGAGTATGGAGAGTTGGGAATACTTATAATCTCTTACAGGAAGAACTAACTGAGAAAATTACCATTATCAGTGATGCGATGTTGGCTCACTGTAACCTCCATCTCCCAGGTTCAAGCGATTCTCCCATCTCAGCCCCCAAGTAGCTAGGATTACAGATGTGTGCCACCATGCCTATTTTTGTATTTTTAGTAGAGACAGGATTTCACCATGTTGGTCAGTCTGGTCTCAAACTACTGACCAGAGGTGATCTGTCCACCTCAACCTGTCAAAGTGCTAGGATTACAGGAGTGAGCTACCGTGCCCAGCTGGAACTTACCTTAAGGAAATAATCATATGAGCTGGCAGATAACTGTGTGAAAATGTTTTTGGTGGCATTGTCATTTTAAAAGTTAAAATGATCAAATGTGCATTATTTAGAATGGTTAAAGGTATTGTAGATGATGTTTATGGACTATCGTCCAGCCATGAATGGGATGAAATAGATGATGGTGATGATAAGAGTAATGACTGATATTTATTGAGTACTTACTATATGTCACACATTGTCCTAAGTTCCTTATATGTATTCACTCATTTAATCCCTTCAAGGACCCTATGATATAGGTCCTCTTATACAGATGTGGAAATTGAGGTATTGAGTCAGGTGACCTGACCAATGCCACAAAACTAATAATGGATAGAGCCTTGGAATGTGAACTAAGGCAGTCAAACTCCAGAGCCTACACTCTTAACCTTGCCCCTAAATGCTACTGCAATTGACTGATACAGCGTGTACCTGAGAACCCAGAGAGTGCATTACATACTTGTCTCAGAGCTTTTTGAAGGCCTGTTAGATTGACAAAATAGTGGCATTATCCATTTGAGAAGATAGGTACTATCAAACACTGTTGGGAAGAAATTAATGCAAAATTTCATATAAAATTTGGTGCTATCAGTCTAATTGTAAAATGTGTGTATGCTGGCCGGGCGCAGTGGCTCAAGCCTATAATCCCAGCACTGTGGGAGGCCGAGGCGGGTGGATCACAAGGTCAAGAGATCGAGACCATCCTGGTCAACATGGTGAAACCCCGTCTCTACTAAAAATACAAAAAATTAGCTGGGCATGGTGGCGCGTGCCTGTAATCCCAGCGACTCAGGAGGCTGGGGCAGGAGAATTGCCTGAACCCGGGAGGCGGAGGTTGCAGTGAGCCGAGATCGCGCCATTGCACTCCAGCCTGGGTAACAAGAGCGAAACTCCGTCTCAAAAAAAAAAAAAAAAGTGTGTATGCCATGATTTAACAATGACAGTTCTAGGGATTAAGTATATAAAGGGCACCATATTACATATATAAGATGTTTTCCTTTTTCTTCCTAGCATTTTTGATGTGATTGTGGAAGGGGAAGAATAGTAACTTTACAGAAAGAGTTGCTTAGGCGCCAGTGGCCATAGGGTATGAGATTGAGGTTACGTGTGCTTGATGTTCTAGGAGGCAGTGACATTCAAGGATGTGGCTGTGGCCTTCACTGAGGAGGAACTGGGGCTGCTGGACTCTTCCCAGAGGAAGCTGTACCGAGACGTCATGCTGGAGAACTTCAGGAACCTGGTTTCAGTGGGTGAGGACAGGCACCCTCTGTAATTCAGCAGGGTTTCTCAACCTCTATGCTGTTGATGTTTTGGGGCTAAATAATTCGGTATTGTATCAGGCTATCCCGTGCATTTTGGGATGTTTAGTAGCATCCCTGGTCGCTCTCCCGTTGTTCAAGGCTTTGGGACTTTTCAGAGACTAGAGTTTTTCTATCTCCTTAGAGCATAGAGACAAGATATTTCTGGCCTTTGTTCCAAGGCAAATGGTTGTCTTTTAGAAATGAACTATAAATGAACAGTTGAGCTTGGCTCCTCCTGATTCCTTATGTCATTTATCTTTTTTAAACTTGTGGGTCATAATCCACTGGTGGGTCATGAAATTAGTAAATTGCATCAGCATTTTTGTAATAAAAATAGTAACAATATCGGAGCTCCTTAGCCAGAATTGTGCACATTGTGGCAATAACTACAGCTGCTTGCAGTAAGGGATGTGATGAAAACAGACATTGGTTAGAAACAGGTCCTTTAATCTTTTATTCCAATAGTTTACATAGGGTTGTGTATTTCCAATGATAGTAAATATATTTCTTATAATGTGTCATGATGAAAGATGTTTCCTAAACGTTGCATGAGGGCAGAGCCTTACATTGTGTGATTGGAACTGGAGTTTTTCAGTACTCTTTGCCTTTAACATTTTCACTTAAGTACTGTCTTCTTATAGGACGTCAGTCCTTCAAACCAGATATGATATCCCAGTTGGAGAGGGAAGAAAAGCTTTGGATGAAGGAGTTTCAAAACCAAAGAGGTAGGCATTCAGGTGAGAACCATGCAGCTGGAATCGTAGATAACAGCTGTTATTTTTCCTTTAATCAGGATAATTTCTTCTCCACTCAGCTATCAGACTTTTATTTAAACATCTGTCATGGCTAGGCACTGTGGCTCAAGCCTGTAATCCCAGCACTTTGGGTGGCTGTGGCGGGCAGATCACTTGAGGTCAGGAGTTCAAGACCAGCCTAGGCAACATAGCAAAACCCTATCTCTATAAAGTATAAAAAAATTAGCTAGATGTGGTGGGTGTGCCTGTAGTCCCAGCTGCTCAGGAGGCTGAGATGGGAGGATTGCTTGAACCAGAGGCAGGGGTTGCAGTGAGCCGAGATCCACCACTGCACTGCAACCTGAGTGACAGAGCGACACTCTGTCTCAGAAAAAAAAAAGAATGAGAACATCTATCACATCATGTCACTCCTCTGCTTCAGGCCCTCAACTGGCTTCCCATTTCACTGAGTAAAATCCAGTGTATTTATGGGGCGTGTAAGGCTATATAACGTTTGCCTATTTACCTAGCTTTACCATTCTGTTTTTCTTGTCATTTCCCTCTCCCTTTGTCTCTGCGACCCTCACTTGTTCCTCAAATATGACTCCTGCGTCACAGCCTTTTACTTTCTTTTCTCTGGCTGGAATGCTGTATTTTCTTAAACGTCTGTCCTCTTTCTTATTTATTTTCTGAGATAGGATCTCACTCTGTTGCCCTGGCTGAAGTGCAGTGGTACTGTCTCTGCTCCCGGTAACCTCCATTTCCCAGGCTGAAGCGATCCTCCCACCTCAGTCTTCCAAGTAGCTGGAACTACAGGCGCGTGCCACCACACCCGGCTAATTTTTGTTTTTTTTGTACAGATGGTGTTTCCCCATGTGCCCAGGCTTCTCTTAAACTCCTGGATTTGGGCAATCTGCCCACCTCAGCCTCCCCAGAATGCTGGGATTATAGAAGTGAACCACTGCACCCAGCCCCTCTTCCTTATTTCATTCATGTCTCTGCTCAGAAGTCATTTCATGAGAGGCCTTCTTAAAATATCTTCCCTTCACTTTCCATGTACTTAATTTGCCTGAATTTGTGTGTAGGCACTACAACACCAAGGCTTATTCACGTATATTTATTTTTAATTGTGGTAAAATATACATAACATAAACTTTAACATTTTAACCATTTTTGAGTCTGTAGTGGCATTAAATACATTCACATTGTTGTCCAGCCATTACCAGGATTCATCTCCAAAACTTTTTCATTGTTCATCCCAAAACTCTATACCCATTAAATGGTGACTCCATATTTGACCCCTCCCTCCAGTACCAATTAACCATTATTCTACTTTATGACTCTGAATTTGACTATTCCAGGTACTCCATTTAAGTGGAATTGTAAATTTGCCCTCTTGTGTCTGGCTTATTTCACTTAGCCTAATATCTTTGAGATTCATCTATGCTGTGGCATGTGTTAGAATTTTCATCTTTTTTTATGGCTGAATAATATTCCATTGTAGTACAGTTGACCCTTGAACACTGTTTTCCACAACAGCTGCACCATTTTACATTCCCACTAGCAGTGCACAAGAGTTCTAATTTCTCCACATCCTCACCAACATTTGTTGTTTTCCGTTTTTAAATAATACCCATCTGAATGGGTTTGAAATGATATCTCATTGTGGTTTTGATTTGCATTTCTCTAATGATTAGTGATGCAGATCACCTTGTCATATGCTTATTGGCCATTTGTATTAATATATCTTCTTCAGAAAAATATACAAGTTCATTGCCCATTTTTTGAATCAGGTTTTTTTGTTGTTGAGTTTTGGAAGTTCTCTATATATTCTATATGTTAGTTCCTTATCAGATGTATGACTTGAAAATCTTTTCTTCGTTTCTGTTTGTTACCCTTTTTACCCTGAAGGTATGATATCTTTTGAAATAAAAAGTTTTTAGTTTTCATGAGGTCTAGTTTGCCTGTTTTTTCTTGGATTGCCTGTGCTTTTGTTGTCACATCCAAGAAACTACACAATCCAGTGTTGTGAAGCTTTCGCCATATGGTTTCTTCTAGGAGTTGTCGCAGTTTTTGCTCTTACGTTTAGGTCTTTGATGCATTTTGAGTTGATCTTTGTATAAGGTAAGGGTGGACCTTCATTCTTTTACATGTGGATATCCAGTTTTCCCAGCCCCATTTGTTCAAAAGACTATCCTTTCCTTATTGAATGGTCTTGGCAGCGTTATCAAAAATGGTTTGGCCCTATATGCAAGAGTTTATTTCTGGGCTCTGTAATCTGTTCCATTGTTCTATATGTCTTTATAACAGTTTTGGTTAATGGAGCTTTATAATAAGTTTTTAAATCATAAAGGAAAAAATTCCTCCATATTTTTTTTTCTTTTCAAGATTGTTTTGGCTATTTGTGGTCTCCTGTAATTTCATCTGAGTTTTAGGATGAGTTTTTCTCTTTCTGCAAAAAAGAAATTGGGGTTTTAATAGGGATTACATTAAATCTATAGATTGCTTTGGGTGATACTGGTAACAATATTAAATCTTCCAATCCATGAATATCAATTTCCATTTATTTATATCATTTTTAATTTCTCTCAACAGTGTTATATAGTTTTCAGTATATAAGTTTGGTGCTTGATTAAGCTGATTTTTAAATATTTTATTCTTTCTGATGCTATTGTACATAGATTTGTTTTATTCTTTTCTGAATAATTTGTTCATACATAGAAACAATTGATTTTTGTGTGTTAACTTTATATCCTGCTACTTTGCTGAATTGGTTTATTAGTATTAACAGTTTTTTGTATAATCTTTAGGGGTTCTACATACATCTTTTATGAACAGAAATAATTTTACATCTTCCTTTCCAGTTTAGATGCTTTTTCTTTATTTTTCTTGCATAATAGCTCTGGCTAGAACTATCAGTAGTACTGTGTTGAATAGAAGTGGTAAAATTGGGCATCTTTGCCTTGTTCTGATACTAGAGGAAAAGCTTTCATTTTTCACCATTGAATATGATGTTTGCTATGGCTTTTTAATGTATGGCTTTTATTATGTTGAGTTAGATTTTTTTCTACTCTTGGTTTAAGTGTTTTTATCGTGAAAAGATTTTTAATTTTGTCAAATGCTTTTTCTACATGAATTGAGATGATTACATGTTTTTTTTCTTCATTCTGTTGGTGTGGCATATTACATTGATTGGTTTTCATATGTTACACCATCCTTGCATTCCAGAACTAAATCTCATTTGGTCATGGTGTAATCCTTTTAAAATCCTTGAACTCTCTTTACTAGGATTTTGTTGCGGATATTTATATCATTGTTTGTAAGGGACGTTAGTCTGTAGTTTCCCTTTCTTACAGTATCTTTGTATGGCTTTGGTATTGGGGGAATCCTGGCCTTATAGAATGAACTAGGAAGTATTCCCCCCCTTCAGTTTTTTTGGGAGAACGAAATGGATTGGTGCTAATTCTTCTTCAAATGTCTAATAGAAATCACTAGTGAAAATACAGGGCTTTTCTTTGCTAGGAGGTTTTTGATCACTGATTCAATATCCTTCGTAGTTTTGGTCCATTCATATAGTCTGTTGCTTCCTGATTCAGTGTTAGGTTGTGGGTTTCTGGGAATGTGTTCATTTCATCTAGGTTATCTAATTTGTTGGCATACAATTGTTCATGATACTCTTTTATCCTTTTGTTTCTATAATGTCAGTAGTAATGTACCCACTTTGATTTCTGATTTAAGTAACTTAGTCTTTATTTTTCTTAGTCAATCTAGCTAAATGTCAATTTTATTTATCTTTTCAAGGAACCAACTCTTCTTTATTGTCTCTATTCTCTATTCTCTTTTTTTTTTTTTTTTTTTTT